CGAGAGCTCGGTGCCTCCGCTGACGTGCGGTCCCCTTGCAGCTCACATCCACCCGGCCTGCCTCCCCATGCACGGACAGACCTTCAGCCTCAATGAGACTTGCTGGATCACGGGCTTTGGCAAGACCAGGGAGACAGATGGTGAGAGGCGGGGTGCTAGGCTGTGTGCGTGTGCACATGCGTGCCTGTGCGGGTGCCGTGTGTGTGTGTGTGTGTGTGTGTGTGTGTGTGTGTGTGCAGTGTGTGGGGTGACATGCTGTGTAGGTAGGTAAGGGCCTAGCTAATGAGGGTTTGGGTCTCTGACCTCACGGGCCTGGGTGGGACTGTGTGACCTGTGTGTACGTCAAAGCAGTCATGTGACCGTGCCCTCCGGCTAAGACCACTGTGAAACTTCTAGAACCGCACAGGTGGGGCTCTGCTCCTGCCCGAGTGGGACACTCGCCGCGGAGAGCCAGGGCGCCTCCCAGCAGGGGTATCGGGAAGGACTCGGCACAGGGCCTGGGGCTTGGGTTTCAGGGGAGCTGTCTCTAGAGCGGATGCTGTCGGGGAGCAGGTCTGTGATCGGGTCCCTGAGTCATCTCGTCTGGGGCTGTGGCCACACGGGGTCTGCAGCTGCCATTGGCGAGGAAGCGGCGGCCGTCCCTCCTGGTGAGAGGGTGCTGGCACGCGGCGGTTTGCATGGCGACCTGCCTGCTTGCGCCTGTGCCCGCCCAGGTTAGGAAGCGCCCATCGCGGCCCCGGAGCGGCCTGGTCTGATGCTGGCCCTGTAGGTTTGTTTCTAGGCGCAGGAGACCGCCCAGGCCTGTCCGCCCCCCATGAGATGCAGGCCGGGCTCCCCTGCTCAGTGTGCCTGGCCGGGGAGCTGCTCTTTCTGACCTCGGCTCCCAGGCTGACCAGCTGGGTGACTGGCCGTCTCCATCTGCAGATGGGCCAGCTATACCTCCTCCAGCTCGTAGTTACTGGAAACAAAGGGGGGGCCCTGGGGGATGGCGCTTTGAGCACGGAAAAGCACCGTGCAGCATGCAAGGCAGACTGAGAGGCTGCGTGTCTGTGTCCGTCTGTCTGTCACGTGTAGAGAGCTGTGTCTGGCGTGAGGGTGTGTGTGTGTGCACATGTCTGGGCGGCCAACCCCAGAGATGGTCCTTCCATGCCGAGGGGCTGAGTTGGGGTCCTGGGCAGTTGGAAGGCCGGAAGCTGACATCTGACCCCCCCACCCCCCTCACTCCCTGAAGAGAAGACTTCCCCCTTCCTGAGGGAGGTGCAGGTCGGCCTCATCGACTTCAGGAAGTGCAACGACTTCCTGGTCTACGACAGCTACCTCACCCCCAGGATGATGTGTGCGGGGGACCTGCGGGGCGGCCGCGACTCCTGCCAGGTGAGCTGCTCCAGGTGGGGCTCAGGCTCCGGGACCCAGGGCCGTGGGGGAGGCGGAGGTGCTGATCAGAGGGGAATCGGGTGCCCAGCTTTCTTGCACAAGGCCCCTCCCCCGCTCTGCTGATGCGTGTACTCCCCGCAGGGGGACAGCGGGGGGCCCCTGGTCTGCGAGCAGAATGGCCGCTGGTACCTGGCAGGGGTCACCAGCTGGGGGACGGGCTGCGGCCAGAGGAACAAGCCCGGCGTGTACACCAAAGTGATGGAGCTCCTGCCCTGGATATACAGCAAGATGGAGGTGAGGCTGCGGGGCACTGCCGGCGGGGCAGCGCCCACAGGGGCACTGGGAGAGGGCCCCTTCCCCGCTCTCAGCGGGCCCCTCACGTCCCCCTACCAGGGGGTCACAAAGCGCAGAAGACAGGACAGGACAGGGGTCACACCCTGGGCCAGCCCCGCGATAGGTACTCTGCGCTCCTCGTCCTTGAGCGGAGCAGGGTCCGAGGGTTCAGGGGGTGGGCCTGCGGGGGTGTGGCCAGTGCTGCTCCTCTCCCCGGGATGGGGGGGGCACTGTGCATCACACAGGCCACGGGCCACGGACAGCTGGGGGACGGGGGAGGGGTCCAGGGAGGAGGGAGGGCTCCCCTCCTGGAAGTGGGTCCCTGGCGGAATGGGGTGTGTCAGGAAGTGGAGGTTCACCCCTCCAGCTGAGCCAGCCCTCCCTTCCCAGGCCAGTGTCTGAGCTGGAAGGCCGGTGTTCTGCCTGCTGAGGGCAGGACAGTGGCGCTCAGAGGGGACAGGGGAGCCGCCGGGGCTCAGAACCCGCCGCCATGGCTGTCCCTTCCCTCCTCTCGAGGGCCGCCAGCCGACAGGCGGGCTGAGTGGAGGCTCTGAGCCGCAGTGTCTGGCTCGTGGGCCCCGGCTCAGCCTCCCCTGTGTCCCTCCCCCACAGAGCGAGGTG